TCATACTCGAAAAGTAATTATTTATTATGACAAAAATAAAACTGATGACTGAAAACAAATGTTACACTATATTGCACCATGATTGCAAATGAGCCAAAACCTGTCTAAAAGATGAACATTCCAGAGCAAACAGCATCCTTTTACTTGGGTAAGTAGGCATGCAAACAACTCATTATAACATAATTGCAGAAATAAGAAATCATGAGTACCAGCAACCTAAACTTAACATATAAAAGAAGCGTTTGATGACAGTAATAAAGTATTAAATTTTTAAAAACATGTCTTTTAACAACCTCACCATTAGAAGAACATGCTTGGAACCATTTGTAAGAATTGATGATGTGAATGCGTTAAGTACTTTGCTCTTAAATTTTCTTTGTTAGTGTTTATATATCAAACCAATGACACACATTTCAGTTGCTTGGTAAGGGCTCAGTAGTAGTTTGTGGCATGAAATACACTTTTTTCTTTCCCTCTGTACAATACCAGGGGGCCCATGAAGAGATCCAATTCACAATTTTGACCATATTAATACTATTTCTTATTTTAGCAAGCTGAATAAGATACTGCTAGAGATTTTGCAGAAAGCCTGACCTTTAATGGGTAACATTTTGTATTAAATGAACATAAATATGAATATAGACACTTTAAAGTAGTTTTACCTTCTGAGGCAAGAAATATATTGAGTACTGGGCCTGCTGATTCCTCTAGAATGCGCTAAAGCACCAATTTATGTGAAAGATGGCAATGTGTGATTATAATCACTATAATGATTGGAATAAATGCAAGAGCAAGGCTGTAACTGCTTTTAGTTTTTGTTGTTGTTTCTTTAAAATATGCTCTATGGAACAGATGAATATGGTTAAATTTATAACTATTCCATAAGTGAAAAAACCATAACCATCATCTTATTTCACTCTTTCAATGAAATAGCAGTTAAAGATTTAAAATCAAAATGAAAGTTTTCATAACCAGACTAAAGGTTTACTCCAAGAGAATAAAATAAAGGCTTCAGAGTCTGGGATTTCCTGAGGGAAAATGTAAGATTCAAATGAGTATAGTTTCTTACAGAGTTATAACATGCAAAACACATCATACACAACTGATGTCAAATGATGGTCATCTGCTATCATATTAATATTGATGAAAATATGTTCACAGTATATTATACTCAGTCCAACCAAAGGACTTTTCTTTCCTTTACTTAACCATTTATTGACTGAGCACATGCTCATGTGTTTTAATGAAAACCACATGTGAATGATACATATGTTAGCCATGCTGGTGGTAAACAAGAATAAAACAAAATCTCCAAGGAGTGCTATCTCTCAGTTGTGAATTTTGCATATTTCAAATACAGTTTAAATGAAGGAGACATTTATGGGATGGTACAACATCCCACAAACTTGAGCAAAGCACCTTGTGGACTGAAAAATGAGGTAATTTTTTAAATTAAAATTTTAACGTTTGTGCAAGAGAACATTTTCGTTGTTTTGGATCTTTTGTTTTCTATTCCAAAATCTATGCAGAGCACATTTTATTATTTCTCCATTTCTGGGAAAAATGTTTATTATTGATTTTAAGAAAATTCAAAAGATGCCTCCATATGAATATTGCTCCAAATTAAAAAAAAAACTAGTCAGTCTTCAGTGTTTTGGTCATATAAAATACAATATAGGCCATTTAGTAAAAGACTATGTACTTTCTAATAATTTTAAGATCCTTAAATGCGGGAGGTAGGAGAAATTCATTCTTCTATTCACATTTTTTTCTTATCTAATATCCTTCTGAAGATTTTTCTACCCCAATTTAAAAATTTTAAGTGTTTAGTTTGTTTCTAGGTATAGCTCTGAAGCTCCAATTTAACATTTCTTAAAGATTCCACCAAGCCACTTTAGAGTAGCCTACTTTAGAGTAGTTGAACATTACATATATGTATGTGTATATAAATATAATTTATATACACACACACATACATATTTTACATTGACCGTCTCTATTTACCTTTGATCACCTACAATTCTTATAATATACTTGTTTTAGAACCTGGCTTTTGGCATTCAGTCTTAATAGTAATAGTAAATGAGTAAGGATGAGCCACTACTGAAAAAAGTAACCCTGAACATGAACTACTTTCAGATTTATTCAGACATTTATAAAATACTTACACACTGGCTACACTGTTCTTTCAATATTGGAAAGTAAAACAGGTTATAGGTTAGGGTAGCATCTAAAGGCAAAAAACTGAACAAACTAACTACTCCCATCTAATGCTGATGCTCCATAAGCAGCGTAATATTTTCTTAGGAATATGGCTTGTTTTCTCTTTTGCTTTATCATTGGCATTAGTTCAATTTAAGCTGAATAGTAGGTATCAATTGACACTCTGCTTTCCTAATTGATAGAATTCGATGGCGGGGGGGGGGTGGGAATCAAATAATGATAAAGTGAGTAGTTTCATATTAGGTGTATCTCCCTATCATTTTGGACTTTTAAAAATGCTCAAAAAATAGTAATATAAGGACTCAGAATATTAAAACCAAAAGACACAATAGAGCCCTTATTTGCTTAAAAATCCCTTAGCAGGTAAAAACAAAAGAAAGGCCATGAATCACAACTGCCTTAGGTCACCTAAATAACTGACAAATGGCCAAATTAAGATTCAAATTCACTTTAGATACCCAGCATAGTATTTTACTAAATAAAAGTACCATACTGTATCCTGAAGTGACTAACCTGATAAAATGCAAATGACCTTTTAGAATTGAAATCAGATGTGAAGATTTTGGTTCCAAAGCCTTAGATGATAGTTAGACTCACAGTTTGGTCTTTTAAGTGCCGGTAAAACTTACTCATTTATAGACATAATGCTGTACATTTTCTAATGCATGGTTTTACATAGTTCAGGATTAAATGAGTGCCCTTCAAAACAATTCCATCCATATTGTGTGCTAAGACACTACAACAAAGACTTTTAAAAAATTTATTTTTTAAAAAAAATTTGCTTTGAGATATTTTAACTCTTAAGTGAATATTGTTTACAGTACTGCCTATATCTCTCATTGTTTCCATAGGAAAATAATTATTTTCTCTTTATGATATAGATAATGAAAGTTCAATTATACTTAATCAAAATAACTATGGCAATCCCAGCACTCAAGAGGATGGAGGCAGAATTACAGGTTTAAGACCAGCCTAGGTAGGGTACATAGGGAGATCCTGTCTCAATCCCGCCTCAACCCTCCAAAAAAAAAAAAAAATACTAAGACTACAGGGGTGGTGCCATTTAAAAATTATTTCTAACAGTGAAACTTGTATTATCTTTCCTTTCATGACTATACAATAAAAGTAATTATACCTTTAAGCATACTAACATAAGAACCTAAAAGCAAAAATTACATATCAAATTTGCAGTTCTCGATAGATTATTCATACATATATATGTATATATATATGTATATGTATTTCCGGTTTTAAGAAATTAAATTATATTAATAAAAATATTCAGTATATTCCCTACAAAAGGGACTGTCAATGGGTTTCAGTAAGAATGATAGGCTCAACTCTAGATGAACACAGTATCTTAAGAAGTAAGAAAAAGACATTATTTCAACTTGCAAGGGTAGTTTTACATTTTAGTTATAACATATTGGAATGGTCTTTGTTAAAGTTTAGTTTCTTTGTCCTTGAATAAATAAAATGTGGAATAATCTCCTGAAGGTGATGTGGGTAGACTCATGCTTCTTACTTAATATAAGTCTTGCTGCACAGTATGGGGAGATGAGGAGAGGGTGTAACATAAATTCCCCTTGTTGAACCAACTACAGTGCAAAACTGAGAGCCTATCTCAACATGAAAAAAGGCACTAACCACAATTTACATTTTTTATCAAGTAATATTTTACAGTTGGTTGATCTAAAATAAATGTCAAAATCAATCCTTTAGTTTTAGATACTTGTTTAGGTTAAAATGTTCTCTTGGAATAAAGGATAATCAGTTTCCTATTAGTACAAACAGGAAAGATCTGATGAAAATCTTTTCAAAAGTCTTATATGAACTTCCTAATTGAACTTTTCCCAATCATTGGCACAATATGACTACTTGAATGCCGATTTCATCTTCAACAAAGAGTTAACATGTATCACTTATAATCCAATACTAATATGTCTTTTAAAAAAAAGGACTGAAAAATAAAATAAATTGTGTTTTAACAATAGCAAATTTGAGTCTATACTACTAGCTGTTTGACAAAATACAATCGACTATTAAAAACACTTTCAATATAATGCTGATGTGGTAATATAAAAAATAACCATATAATCTGATAGGAGAAAATTGAACCAGCCAATCTTATTAGACACAAGAAGGCAGATAATTATTTTATAAGAAATACTAGAATATTAAATATATTTTTTCTCAGGAAAGCTTTATGAGAATTATCCATAGAACTTATAATAGGCAATATAACAAAGCAAAAATTCAGGCAAAAGTGTGCTTTAAGTAAATGGTATTTTCTTAATCCCCTCCCACCCCAAGTCACATACACAGATACACCACAAAGAAGTATCCACATTGATTTATATCGGCTTTCTTCTCCCACTCTTGATTATGGGTTACATTAAAAGCAAAACAGAATTAAACTTATCTACTACTGAATTAGAATCACGAAGAAAAAGGTTCAGAACAAAGAACTATTTCCCAAAGTCCAGAAAACCGGACTAAATGGAAATCAAAAAATGTTAACCAAGTTCAACTAAATTATTCAGCCAAATATAATATACCAAGTAAATCTGAAAACAGTAAAATTTAAGTCAGCTTACAAATAAAAATAATGTAATTAAAATACCATTTTTGAGCAGGTTTGATATTGTTATGAACACTGAATCTTATAGTTGATCCAAATGAAAAATACTGTAAAAATGAAGAATTATTCTCTTAAGTATGCATTTTATCCCTTTCATTGCAGCAAAATCACAAATTTGACAAAAATAGGACTGAAATTACACTACTGGCCTTCCCTCTTAAGGTATGCACCATTTGTTTTTCATATTAGACAACTGCCTTAAAAACTTTTTTAAGTGCTACCCAATAAATTAACTTTTGATAGATTATGATATTTCCTTCATTTTAATTAGCTCTAGGTTTATAAATTCTTAAAAATATTAATGGTGAATCTCATAGTAACATTCTAAATGCTAGGGTTAAATTTAGCAGTTTCCTATAGGATTTTAGGACATGAAGTATTATGACAAAGATGGCAATTGCTTCAGCCTTATTACACTCTCAAACAGATTTAAAGAATGCCCCATGGTTTCTTAAGTAATATACTGCTGGTGGTGAAAATACCATAATACACATTTCAAATGTTAAGAAGTAAAAAGCACAGTTCATTTTTCTGCTTTAGCTATTGCCCAAAGCAGATGTGATGTTTCTTGCAAAAAAATTCGCTGAAATTTTTGCTGACACAAAGTGATTTATAAATTGACAGTAAAATATATTCTAAGTATCATATTTTAATTTTAGTGCTGGTATGCTTTAGTAACTTCTGATAGCTGTTAATGCATTAATGTGATACTCTTAAAATACCAGATGTATCCAGTAATATTTATCAGCAGAGCTGAGCTTTCAAATAAGTATTTCACCTTGATTAATTTTTGACCAAATGTAGGCAGAAAAGTGAACTTAATTCCTTTAGATAAGTAAACAGCCTGCTTAATTTCCAGGCAAATAGCAAATTTGAAAATATTCCATGGCATGCAATAATGTGGAGGAAGTTCAGGATGTTCAATCTTCCTTGTATGTATCTTCTAGGTAGATCTCCTTCCTTACAAGAAATTCTGCCCCAAAGATAAAAACATGGTTTATAGTAGAATAAATATTTAGTGCTGGAGACATCTGCAAGTAGGTAGCTGATGACTTTCACTACTGCTTTGTCAAATCAGTAACTACTGGGAAGGAGGGAGTGGTGGCCAAGAATTGAAAGAAGTTGGTCATAAAGATTATAACAATACTTCAGAAAACATTAAACATATGACAAACATTTTTTACAAGGTAGTGACTGAATAATTAGAATAAGCAGAATTGTTGAAAACAGTTATACATTATGTTCATCCAACTGAAGATTAGTGCATTTAAAAAAAAGTTAAGAAAACATCCTTTATGTTCCAGTTCAGCTGCACTTGATTCAAGTGTTGCTCATAGAGGTTTGTGTTGTTATAAATTAAACATGCTGCTGCCTTAGCAGCCAAACATACTAGGAAAAATGTTCATGTCACAGAATAAATAGAGCAGTCTTTTTCAAGCAAAAAAGTTATCTCACACCAATCCGGGAGGTCATCCACTCCAGACCTTGGCATAACCTAAACAAAAGATAGAATATATTCAAAATTACAAGCTTTCTCTTAAAAACTGAAAGCATATTTTTAAAAAAGTCTTCCCTGAAAGTCAGTACTTATTATATATACATTTTAGTGACAACATTCAAGTAAACTGTAATAAAATGGATTTTTAATGGAAGATTCACCTAAAATAATCTAACATTTGAGGAATGTGGCAAATTATCTTAGTTTCATCTTGAAGATACAGCTGTAGGTAGTTTTGCCATCAAGACTGCAAATACCCACTTCCCTTTAAAGTTAGCTAAAACTGAGACTACTGTAGAAACATGGTAGAAGCTTCTTCTTACCCTTCAAAATTCTAAAATCGGAATACTTACGGACCTGGGTCAAACACATAACTATCAAATTGCAAGCTATTTGAGTATAACACAAAGAAGTCAGGTAGGTGTAAGGATAACCATATATAACCATATAAACCCACATATCATACACTATCATCATTTGCCTCGAATGTTTCTTTGTCTAGATGTATGTCCCCCCAAAGAACTCCTAATAAAGTAGACATCCTTTTATGAAAAGCTGAGAGCTCAGGTTTAAGTCCTTGTATAAAATATGTGATTTCTTTAAAGCTGCTTCTCTAATTCAGGTAACACTAATATTGTCTCTCAGTAATGTTAACAGCAGCAAATGAATAGCAAAAAATTTAGATTGTGAAAACTTAATTCAAAATTTTATTGTTTCTTTTGGTTAAGCACTACATTTACCTTAAAAGGTACACAGGTCATTTTGATTACTAGAATCATTTCAACCCTGTAAGCTTGAGAAATAATGTAACTACACATCCCTGCAGACTGAGCACCACTTACCCCTCTCCTGTTAAAGCACAGCAGGACTGAATATGCCACGGGTGATCTTTAATGGAACTGAGGGTGAGGTACTTAGAGATTTCAGCTGCTGTCATACACCCTTTCATATCCTGTTTATTTGCAAAGATAAGGACTGCAGCCTTCCTTAAATCCTGCAATCAATACAAAATATTCTACAATGTAAAATATCATTAGGTCAAACTAAACTAATGAAGCAGAGGGTAAAATGTACCTCACTGGATGGTTATAATGAGAAACTCCTATTTTTAAATGATTAGGCACTAACATTTAATTTGAAAATTTTATGCAATAAAAATCTCAATCCCAATTTAATGATTCACTCTAAAAACATATTAAGCCTGATAATTAAAAACATTTTCTTTTTGAACAAAAAAAAGGTCAAACCAAACAGAAAACAAGCCCGAATCTTATTGAATACCATCTTAAAATTACATGAGCAATCAAAACACTATAGAATCTCCCCTCCTCCTCAGAAAAAGAAACTCAAGTCCTCTTCCCCTGAGCACATCCCTTGGCATGAGTTCTCTGACATTTAAAGAATAAACTGGAGGTGGGGAATACTATTTATTGGTTTTTATATAACTTAAAACTCATTAATATTCATTGTTGCACTAAAACGATAGAAATAGCCTAAGTGGTCATTAACTAAAGAACAGATACACGATGGTATATTCATATAGTGGGACACTATATCATGCTTAAAAAAGCGAGCTAAGCTGTATGTATTAACATGGCTAAATCTGAAACTGAAGTTAGTATTCAAAGTACAAGTCACATAAAGATAACATTATAAATGACAATTATATAAGGTTTTAAGAACATAGACTATAATATTTTGTACAGTTTAGACACATGAAAATGTAATAAAAATACAAAAATATACACAGGAATAATAATCACGACTTTCAAGATACTAGATATCTCTGAGACAGAAAGAAAGAAAATCGGATTGGAAAGGTCTTTTAGACATTTGGTACATTAAGTTAAATGGTGTGTGCATAAATGTGTTCTGTTATCTAACTTTTTTTTTATATTTCAAATATTTAAAATTAAGTGATCTCAAGTTATTCATTAAAAACTTTCAGTTATTATACAACCAGGAGAAGACACTTAAGTTTTGTTCTTTTTAAAAACCTCAATTTATCAAACTTTTTAAGGCAAGTAGTTTTAATCTTGAAAAAAAAAAAAGAAACCTTTGCAGTAACAGTTCATTTCTGTAGTTAACATATTTGTTTAAAGTTTGAAAAGGTGATAGGATTTTTGATGTGAAGATTTTCAATTTAATAGTTTTGCTAATGATGAAATAACCAACACTATCATACATTAATCTTTGTAAAACAGCAAAACCGATCTACAGATAACGTAAGTTTTTAAAGATTTGTTTTCAAAATTTACCTCATGAGCCAACATTCTGTATAATTCTTCTTTCGTAAGAGCTAGTCGTTCCCTGTCAATGCTATCAACAACAAGAATGATGAACTAGAAGACAATTTAAAAACAAAGAAAATTGAATGGGATGTTCAAAGTTTTCTGCAAACTTACTCAAGGGATGTAAGCACTTTCTTCACATGGCATTATCATTACTATAAAACAAGTAAGTATTTCTCATCACAAAGAGCTTATATAACACTGAAGTACACCAAGTAGTAAAACCTAAATGTTAATAGTAAGGACATGACAATTTACAACTATATTAAAAACTGTAACCAACATAATTTTTTAAAAGAGCACTATCTGAATACATAATAGTATGCAATAGTAACATTTATATTAAAATGGGGGTAATAAAAGGTAATTTTTAAGATTAAAGAGTAATTTAAATACTCATTAAAACATCAAAGTCATATATTTTATTCATTTAAATAATCAGTAATTGGTTGCTTATTTATGTGTAAGACAGTCTCCTGCATATTAGAAAGAAAAGCTAGTTTGAAGCACAGGAAACTTAAAAAGTGAGAAAGTTTTACAAAGTGAGTTATCAACAATAAACAGTTAAGAAAAAAAATGTGCTAAAGTAGGCTAAATTATATACAATGGAATTAATATGCTAAAGGAAAATGCAGGTGAAATGAGAGAAAGGCAAGACAGTCAGGAAACTGGAGAATCTGCTTCTGAAAGGTGTACATAAAAAGGAAGACTTTGAAAATAAAAATAAAAGCAACTTCAAAAATAAATAAATAAAAGCAACTCTGGTAAGTAAAAATAAAGAGACATTGAGAAAGTGTCCCTAAATCAAATGCCTTATGCAGGAAAAAAAAAAAGATTAAAAGTATTTAGCAGTTGGGTGTGGTGGTACATGCCTGTTAATTCCAGCAGTTGGAAGACTTGTGAATTGAGGCCAGCCTGGTCTGCATAGTGAGACCCTGTCTCAAAAAAAAAAAGAAAAAAAGAAGCATGGCACTGGTGGCTTACAGGTTGACACCTGTAATTCTAGCTAGTTGGGAGGCTGAAATTGGTAGGATCACAGTTCAAGGCCAACCCTGGCAAATAGTTCACAAGACACCATGTCAACCAATAGTTGGGTGCAGTGGCATGTCCTGACATCCCAAACTACACAGGAGGCTAAGATCCAAAAAAGTCTGTGAGATTAGTAAAAAGCTGGGTGTGATGTCACGTGTCTGTTAGTCCAGGGACAGCCTAGGCAAAAAGTGAGATCCTATCTCCAAAATGACCAGAGCCAAAAAGAAAAAAGTCTGGAGGCATGGCTAAGCAGTGGAGCACTTGCCTAGCAAGGGTGAAACCCTGAGTTCAAACTTTAGTACCTCAAATTAAAAAAAGAAAAAAAAAGTTAAAAGATTAAAAAGGCTAAAGGTTATATACACAAGGAAAACAATATAAATAAAGACAGTAGGGGTGTAATAGAGATGCATTTAAAATTAGGGAGAGACCAGAGTAATCTGAATATAAACTCAGAAAGGCTAAGAGAGGGATAAAAGACAAAGAAAAGTGGCAAAGCAAGAAAGGATAGAAAATTGGGCAGTAACTGGGTTAATGAGAGGACAGTGTCAATAATTAATCAATACTCTTTGTATTGTAGTGGAGACACTGTAGCTTTTGGTATCACTTCAAAATAAAGAATTATCAAAACATAAGATGACAAAGTGATCAGTGAAATACCACACAGATAACATCTCTACTTGGAACCTAAGCTTGCAAATGCTATGTGTTTTACAGATGTGCTGCAGTAATAAATGAATTCCTTCTTGTAATTTAGATTTTCTTGTAGAAATAGTTTAAGAACATTTAATGAAAACAGCACCAGTAATAGTCTATCTCTGAACCCAGGCTAAGTCTTCTAGAGTTTCAGTAATTTCAGATAGTTTTGAAATACTTTATGTATATGCAGATTAGCTATAATCACCTTTGACCTAAAGATAACTGGTTCTTTCACAGCAGAAGTTAACTGTGTGCTTTTAAAAGCTGTGTTGTTTGAATAAGTCCTATGTTAAAAGGGTTATTTTCCCCCTACTCTATAACATATTCTACCTTTAGAATGTTATTTTACTGTACAAGTTTATATTAACCTATAACCATAATATTTGCTTAACAACCACTCTAGCTTCTTCCTACCACTTCCATCCAAATAAAATAAGTAAATGCGATCACAAGTGCTAACTATCTGGGATATACCACTCTGGTTTACTACTTACACGCTGCATTAGAATATATACACACATATGCATATGTTATTACAATATAAATCTAGAATACATGTTTTTAATTTTAAAAGGTGACTTTGTGCACCAAAATTTCTTTGCATTGTACCCTCTTTCAACTCCAATTTTTAAAAGGTTTTTATTTTACAAAAGCCAATTGGTTAAGTGTATCTCTTTGCAAAGAAAAATTACATGGATGCAACTGTACACTAGTATTCTCAAAATTAAAACTCTCTCAACAGCACTGCATGGTCTTAAAAATATCTGCCTAAAGTAGAAATAAAAGCAGAAATAGAAGATATTCCAGATGTGTTCTGAACTAATAAAATTATTATATAAATGGCAGAGAACTCTGGGCAATGGCCTGCAAGCCCATTTGTTTAAAATTGTTAAAATACATCTCATTCTGAATGTTCAATTCATGTTATTTAAAAATCTTATATTAAATTAATTTAAACTATTTTATTCCTTCTCTAATCAGCCCCTATTGTAAAGCTATGAGATCTTCAGAAAAGTTCTAATTTCTCCTAGTGTAAGATTTCTCCAACACTTGGAGATGTGATGAGGGTGAAAAGAAAAGCCTGACTACCACTAAGCACTCACTCAGCTAAGAAGAGCTCCTAGTACTCTACTAGCCTTTTCGCTCCAAAATCTGAATTCCTTACAAAAAAGGATTGTATTAAAAGATGTACCTTATGCATAGCCTATTTCTGTGTTTGTTCTATTGATTCTTATTTTATTCAAATTCAAAATTAATTTTGGCACACCTCTGTGTTTGAGTAATATGTGTTCCATGATGATCGCAGTGACTCTTGACCACCAATGTCCCACATAAGAAAATGAGTATTCTTCACAACTATTTCTTCAACATTGCTTCCTATGGTTGGAGAAGTATGAACCACTTCATTCATTAAGCTGTTGAAAAATAGACAACATAAAAACTCTTGTACAATGTGAGAACTCAAAGCAAGTTTTAGTTCTGTATTTTTAAGATAAATCAACCTTCCTTATTTGTACTAATAATGGTAATTGTTAGCATAAAAAATAGAAACTTGGAAACCATCTGTGCAGACAAAGATACAGGAAATGAACAACTCCTGAAAAGTGTTTTTTGTTTAATGAACTGCAGACATCACATAGGCATTCGGGAACACTGGTGTGAGTTTGCATTTCTCTGGACAAAAACTGCAGTACCACCATGTCCGTTAGATGAGAATCTATGCCCTATGCGGAAAAAACAATTTCTAGGTGACTTTGACACCAGTATTTGCAAAGTGCAACCACTGGATAGTAGGCTATGGATAATTTTTAAAACTTGTCCATGTGAGAAAGTTGAGACTTAGTCATAAAAGATAGCCTCAGGTTTATTAACCTAAACTATAGTTTGAAAAGGTAAGGCCATGGGCAAATAGAAATTTTACTTAAAATGAACTATAAATATATTTAGGATATATCACTTGTACCATACTAATCGCTGGCTATGCTACATTAAATAATTCATTCAACACATGTATTTTGTAATTAAAGTAGAACTTTCTCTTGCACTTTTATGTACGTTTATGAAAGTATATGCAAAATTCTTTTATCAAATATGAGAAGTTTCTGAAATATTTAAATTTAGTGTTTAAAGGCTAAGTCATATTAAAACACATAATGGCCAATAAATGAAACAACAAACAAGAAGTAGCTTTTTAACAAAGCAGCTGAAAAAAGTGTTAAGCACTGATTATTTCTGATATGCTGCAGATTGATATACTCCTTTTTTTTTTCTTTTGCTATAGTAGGGATTAAACCCAGGGCCTTGTGTTTACTAGACAAGTGCTCTGCTGACCCACTCCCTAGACTGATGTACATAGTACAAGATGAGATGGAAAGAGGTAAGAGCTATAATACAATGGTACAAAGTACTTTATAAGTATTTGCTAAAATGAGTGGGATACAGATTCATTTCCATAGCTCAATATTTCATTCACACTGAAAGGATAATGGAAAGTCCTTGGATAAATGGATGGATGGGCTGTTAAAATTTCATTAAGGATGAGTATTAATGCATTTCTCTGACAGTTGCAAGCCTCTTCTTTTTGTAAGTTACTAAATTAGTATTTTGACTGTCAATACAAGTTGGCTACGTTAAAGCAAGTCTGGCTATGTTAAACAATTCCACGGCCATTAGTCATGAGAGTAGCACTTCCAAGAGATATCAATCCATTTACATGAACCCCAGTATGGGAAAAACTAAGTGAAATCCACTTTATCACCTCTCCCCAGCACAGTAATTTGTCTTTTATTTATTTTAGTTTAATATAATTCATTCTTTCAAAGCCACAAAACAGAGTATATGTAAAGGCATTAGCAAACATACAGCAGTTCATTTTACTTGTTTTGCAATTTTTGTGTTTGTTTAAATTCTTATTAATTATACAAAGTTTCAATAACTGAAATAATAAAACTATTAAATAGACACCCATACTTACAATTGATAAAGAATGGTGGTTTTCCCTGCATTATCCAGTCCCACTATAATTACTTTGTGTTCTACAAAAAGAAAGCAAACCATAAAGATTTAATAGTGTTGGCCAGCTACAATTACATACTTTCAATACTGATTATTTGTTAGCTTATTAGAATCATTTACTGGGCATCTATTACTGAACTATAAAAGAAACAAACTCTATGATGTTAAGTACCTGCCTTAAGTGAAACAATCTATTATAATGTTCTCCAGCTAGTTCTTTTGTAAAAAGAATGTGGGAGGTGAGTTAGTTGAAAATATAGAACATGGACTCTTGAGTTGGGGAAAACCCAAATATTAACCTAGACATTATGACTTAAAATGTAAATTTTAAACCGTCTGCTTTACTTACTTGATTAAAGTCACTGCTAACCAAGTTAGCTTCTTATGAAGCTGTTTTAACACATGGGAATTTCCCCACCTAAATTTATCAGCACTTTTTCCCCTTTTCATTAAAAAATCCCACTATAAGAGCTAAAAACTGCAACATTTTCCATCACCAACACACACATACTTTCAACCAGTTTTTCATTCTTTCTATTAATTTAGAAAAATACTAGTAATTACTTAGTCTTTAATGACTTTTCAATCTGGATTCTATACTTCTGAGCAGGTATCTCTTGGGTCCTTTCCTCTTTCTGGTGCCATGCAATGGATAGTCCCTTCCTTGGGGAATATTAAAGATTTGCTTTCTTCAGAGCAGAATGCTTAAAAAGCTACTAGAGAATGTCAACAGAGTATGTAAGGAAGTTGCCACAAGAACCCAAACACAATCTATATGAAACCAATAAATTGTCACTTTTCATACCAGAATCCTGATCCTAATAATCTCTGATGAACATCAAACTTCTGACAATACATCTAGGCATATATCATGTCATATTCCTATCCTACAGCCTTAATGTTACATTGACCCATACACTGTAAGTACAACTGCCTATAATAATTACAAGACAAGTAGACATGGTCCCCTGAAAGGCTATTTTCACTATGGCAGAAGTGGCTTTGTAAAAAACAAACACCCTTTCTCCTGCAAACCTTGTTTGTTTATTCTAACTCACCCTCATTTTCCTTAACTCTTTTGGTTCAAATCATCTCGTTTCTAATGGAACCAGTCTTGAGGTGCTGCCATGTTTGCCCTTCCTTATAGCAAAAGAACAAGAGCCCTCTTTAGCAGTGGGGGAGCAAACAGATTGCTTGGCACCAGGTATCCTAATCTGATATAACTGGAAACGCCATCTGCCCAAAATCTGGAGACCATGGTGTCCCTGTGCAGTGAGAAGAAAGCCACTGGTCTAAAGGTAAGCAAAACCTGGGTACAAACACTCCTGTGGGAAGAAAGAATGGAGCGATGGTTAACAGATGGTTTGTTATTAAACAACGTACATGAATAACTGAGGCCATTTTCAAACAGTTCTGCTTTATATTTTACATTATGATCATGGTATTAAAGGCCTGATGGGTTTAAAACTCATAAATAATGCATCATTTTGAAAGATTGGTCCCCAATGTGAACTAAGGGGGACAAACACTGAAGGTGGATAGCATATGGATTTCAAATTATCTTTTCACGTAGTTTTTCAGATCTCTAAGATACTGAACACTTCTTGTCTTCAAGTTGTCCATGATATGGAAAAAATTCTAATGTATGTTTGCTTTAAATCATTGTTGAATGAAGCATAAAATATTCAATAAAGCACTATGCTATGCTTATATAAAAATATTTTTTTCAAATATATGACTAACTCAAGGAATTTTTCAGATTGCTTTCCTTCTGCATTGATAGTGAATTCTGGCAATTAAAAGAAATTCAATTCTGTCTTAAGAAGGTATGTACAATTTTCCTTCCAATAGAGGCCTATCTTCTGATGTTAAAATTATCAACATAAATCTATATATACAAAAACACAAATCTATATATATACACAACTGAAAAGGAACAGCTAGATGCTTTTTAAGAGCATGAACAAGGATTTAATATTTTGCTAAGAAAAAATACTGTTAATGTCATCTACAAAGTAAGAAAGCAAGTTCAAAGGCTATCTACTAAAAGCCAACGTCAAAAAAAAAAAAAAAGCTGCTTGTACTGTTATGTAACTGTAACTCTTCCTTCAATTGCTTCTGTTATACTTATCTGCTACTTGAGTTTGTAAATGACCAAAGATTTAAGCTCATATATACCAGTTAGTAACATTTTTACCCACTGGAAGAAGAGTGAGAAAAACATGGATACTTTCTGCTATAAGGAAAAAACTGAATTAATGTCTTGCTTTTAAATCGTGTCTAGATTAATAAAGCACAGGATACCTGCAAGCACTCTTGAACACAGCGGTCTATAAAGTTTCCAATCAATACATACCAAGCACAACTGCTATCACACAGCAGCATCTGATAGTACTTGTTTAAAAGCAGACCCCTGGCTTGAAAAGCATTGATAGCATGCTTGTTCTGTATTGCTGTCTCTTTGGTTGGGTATAATCAGGAAGGCCATATGCACATCTCATGCTATGTAGTGAAATACAAATCAACTAAGCCACGTAAGTGTCAAAGGAATGTTCGTAAAGTTGTCTTGGTATAAGTAATTTCCTTCATCCCTGCCATAGTTAATGACAGGAGATGTGGAAAAACACTTATAGGTTGGTACTACTTGTATTATCCAGCAGTAACTTTTATTATTCATGATATAGGAGGGGAAAAAAAACCTTTCAGTCTTAAAGGTAAGAAGGGATGTGCCCCCAAAGCCAAATTTTTAATTAATGCCAACATTATAAAAACAGCAAGCCAGTTTTTAAAAGAAGTCTAAAAAACTAATACTATAAGGAATTTTATAGAGAAACTTCTTTATCAAAATTAAAACTGAGGTCCTTTCCTACATTTAGTATAAATAAGCATGCATCACGCTGGGCTCTGGAGATGCATGGATCAGTAACACCGAAGAACTCTTCTCAGCCCTTTGCTAGGTGAACACCAAGCATTTGAAATCATTTTTACTTGCATAGTAGGGAGCAGAGGTTTCTTATTTGTTCAAATGTAAATGACTAAAGTTGTGATGAGTGTACTTTATAACTTCAACTGACCCTCAAAGGCACAGATGTAGACTACATATTCTTTCCTCCTAACTCCTCGAACTCAGTATTTAGTTGATGGGCTGAAACATAATCTCAATTAGTGTTAAGTGGGGCAAATGATAATATGGATGGCACTAAAATGTGATTTAGAGTAGATTTTGAAAATATAGCTATAGCAAATTTACTTTTGTATTCTTTTAAGAAACTGTCACAGGAAACAAAATACCCATGGTTAGGGAATATTTGTGATGGGATATGTATAATTTAAAATATTTCATGGATAATAGAGTAATTTCAGGATAAAACACTACTTTAGCTATCAGAGTTGTAGTGAATTAGGATGTTTTAAAAGTGTATTCACACCATGAGAGTTATCCAGGGCATCATGTTCTACTGGAAATACCTTCCTTAACATCAAGATGTACCCTTTCCCCAAGCAAAGGGCTGAGAAGAGTTTTTCAGTGTTACTGATCCATGAATCTCCAGAGTCCAGCATGATGCATGCTTATTTATACTAAGTGAAGGAAAGGACCAGTTTTGTTTAATTTTGATAAAGATTTTCTCTGTAATACTACTTATGGCATTACTTTTTTTAGACTTCATTTAAAAACTGGCTTGCTGTTTTTGTAAGTAGTACATGAAGACAAAAGAATCTGCATTTCTAGTACAGAATGCCGAACGATGCCAAACAATCTAACACTACAGGAAGCAAGCATTAGAAAACACTAAATAGCAACGGTGTTAAAAATAAACTGGGAAATGAGGTATCCGAATTTATCACATTAAAATTCAGTATTATTAAAATATGTGATCAAATGGTCAACTGTACTTTTTAACATGTAAGAAATATAATATGAGAGTAGTAGGGATTTCCAAGATGGCGGCTAGAGGGAGGAAGCAGAAAGCGAGCCTCCTATAGTGAAATCTTGGAGAGATGCTGGAGACACACTTTGCAGGCATAATCACTGAGAAAAGGCATAACTTTGACCCCTCCACATCTCCAGCCGGCACAGAGAATCTCCACTTCACATTAAATGGAGAAACCAGGAGGGCCCCCGGGCCGCCAGTGGCCGGCGTCCAGATGGCTTGGGAAGAAGCGGACCAGGTGAGCTTCCCGGTACTGCGGTTCTCCCATAGACAAGCCTGGGCCAGAGCAGCATAGCCCCCTGGACAGACTGACCTCCACCCGGGGAAAAAAAAAAAAAAGAAACTGAGTACTGAGCAATAAGAACAGTTAAGACACGCGGGAAAGAGGGTGGGGCGCCCTGAGCGCTGAAGATTGGGGGAAGGGAATCCTTCCCGGGACTGTAAATAAACAAGCCGGAGAGGCCGGAGAGGCTCTGGCGGGAGCGGGGCGCGCACCCAGCAACCAGGAGCGGGGACGCTTGTGAGAGTGGCGGAGGGAGGAAAACTCCACAGGACAGGAGGGAAGACCCACTTCCCACATGAACTGTAAACAAACAAGGCGGCCGGAAGGAGCAGCAGCACCGCTCAGTAAGCAGGAGCAGGAAAGCTTCTGAAAGTGGCAGTGGGAGGAAAACTCCACAGGAGGGGGGAAGACCCACCTCCCACATGAACTGTAAATAAACACACAGGCCTGACAACCTGGGGCAGTGTCACCTTTCCCAGTGCTTGGAAAGGGGAAAGGCTGTAGCAGAGCCCTCCCCCCCCCCACAGGAGAACTCTGAGCAAACAAAGCCTGCAGGACCAGGTGAGTGCTAAGCTCACCCCAGAGATCTGCATAAATAACGCCGCCAGCTACAGGCTGACAACAGCAGGCAGGCGAGCCACAGTTGCAGATACCACTCTCAGAACTGTCTCCAGACGCTTTTTTCTTCTTCTGCCTACCTTTGATGAGAGAACAACCGAATTACACCTACAAGCCGAAAAACTTACTGAAACTGTATTGCATTTGAACTGGGGACACTTGGTGGGGCTTTTTGTGTGTGTGTGTG